GTGTCACTGAAATGAAAGTGGTGCCGCTGCATACAGGGGTGAAAGGAAGACTCGGAAAATGAGCTTTGGTTGGCTGGGATTTAGAAATGTTTTGTTACTGGTTGAGCTGAGGTTGATTTGAAGTTATTCCTGTCTGAAAGGACATTTTTTGTGAGGAGCTCTGACTTGCTTAGGTTCAGCTTTTTTAAACACCATTGAGAATCAGTATCTTAAGTTGGTTTCTGTTAGAATGAAGTGTGTTATCCATATTTCTCTTTTAGGTTAAAGATGTTGGCTGTGGACTTGGGAAAAAGTCACATGAAAACCATCGTTCAAAGATATTGAGTGTAAGGATCTTTGTGATGAAATTTCTATGAATGGTAAGATTTTTAGCTCTTTCACAGAATTGCATAGGTTATGATCCCTTTAAGTATTGGTCAGTTAGATTCTGAGATGTGTGGGTCTTCCAGGATTATTAGTGGCTGGATAAGAGAAGTGGTATGGAACTCTTTGCTAGACCCCTGCCAAGCAGCCTCACAGTGTTTGTTACAACCCTACATGAGGCAGATATTTTCCCTGAGTTGCTACTGAGTAAGTAGACCGAGACAATGAGTTCACTCACCCATAGTTACACGGCTAGGTGTTTTTTTGTTTTGTTTTTAAAGAACCATAAAGATATAGCTAATTGATTTTGGGAGGTGGGGGGGGTGTTATTATTACTATTAAGCTTTTTTTTTTTTAATTTAGAAAATGTCACTGATGTAACATTGTCAGTTGTAAAGAGGTGTGTCTCAACCAGATTGTAACAAAATTACCACAGCTTATTCCAAAAGAAACTATTAAGCTTTATTGAGGTGTTAGTTGAACAACTAGTTACTGAGTTAGGCCAGTGGTTCTCAACTTGGGGTCGGGGTGCGCTGGGACGCAGTAGGTACCCCGAAGTACCCTGCGGTGCGCAAGACAGCCCCCACGACAAGGAGCTACCCCCCCAAAGCGTCGGTAGGTTGAAATCCCGTGTTAGACTAACTTGAGAGATCTAGACTCTGGTCTCAGCCTGTTACCAGGTGACCGCACCAGAGCCTTATTTCTTCAGTTTGTAAAAACAGGAATGGTGCTTCTCAAACCTGGCTGTGCACCTACAGAGGTTTGAAGTAGTATACATGTTCCTGGACCCCACCTCTGGCCATAATGAGATGGCTCTGGTTTAAGAGCGGGTACGGAGGAACAGTTAGATGATCTGATCTACTTTTAGCTCAGGGATTTTTATGACAGCAAGATTATAGTACTGGCTGTTTTTAAGTAGCTCTCAGGGCAGATCTATAATCCCTGTCTTAAAGCACTGAAAGCCACATGGTTGCTCTGCAGTATTGTTTTGCACACAGAGGTGAGTGAAGGAGAAATGACCTTGTTTGGTGTCGACTCCTCTTGGCATCAGGTACCCTTTGTGCAGCTGGCCTTCAGTGGTCGGGCTGAAAGGAGTAATCCGCACTGTCTCAGGCATTTTACTGACACCAGAAAGACGCTGGAATATATATACCATACTTGGCTGCTAGACACTTTGTGCTAAGGGAGACCCTGGCTTTAAAAGGACAGGAACTGTCAGCGTGTCGGGTCTGGGATGCTGGGTACAGCTAGGCACAGTGCTGCGGGCTGGCTGAGGGGTGGGAGCTGAGTCCATGATGATGTGAAGTTATCCCTGTCTGAAGGCAAAGAAGGGCCTTTCTGTGTGGAATTTGTATATCTGAGACTCAGTTTCCCAAGTTTGTTTTTTTAATGCCTGATTTAAAAGTGAGCTACCTGAGAGAGATTGTGTATATCTTCTTGAATAGGTTTTTCTTTGCAATTTCTCCTCGCCAGGTACAGTCTCAGCCTCAGTTAGAGGCCGAAAAGGATGCTCCAGAACAAGACACTAACTAGCAGCGGTGCCGTTTCCGCTGGCCTGGACCCGAGGCGGAATTTCTCTCGTGTGTGTAATAGAGAAGATCTTTGGAACGGGCTTGGGTGGGTGTTCTTTTTGCTTCCCCTGTCCTGGCCTTTGAGTTGTGCTGAGTGGCAGGGAGACTTTGACATAGGTTTGTCTTCTTCGCTGGGTGTCTGCAGTGAGTGGGACAGAATTGAACTGCTTTGCCTGAAGCAGGTGAAACGATGATTCTTCTCGTTTGTAAGCTTTCTCTTTCGTCTTACGTGTCCCAAAGAAGCCCCACAAGCCTATGATGGTTAGTTATCCCCGTCTGAAAATCTCAACTGAGGGAAAACCATCTGTTCTGAGGCTTAAGGGGCTGGCCCTGTGCTCCTAAAAGAAGTTCAGGCTCTAAGGGATCAAATTGAATGGACTCCACAGGGAATTGTGCATACCCTGCCAAGACCCCAGTCCTAATGCATCATCCCTCTGCAGCTTGAAAACCAGTGGTGTGGCTGCCCTGTCACACTTTAGGCCCCTTGATTAATGGCTCTGAGGGCACAGGCTATAAGAGGTGGCAGAAATGGGCAGGTGGCCCAGATTTGGTCTATACTCCTGTTGTGGAATGAAAGAGAGCTTGTCACGTATTTCAAGACAACGAATGCGCTGTTTGAAACAGGCGGGGACGGCGGATGTAGGGCAGCTGTGGCAGTGAGAGCACTTCAGGACCGCCTGACCTCTTCCCCTCGCACCGTATCCTGACAGTCAGGAGACGGCACAGTGGCACTAGCAGAGCGATCTGGTTTCCAGGTGCTTTGTTAACACCAGGGAGCTCTCCTGGCGGTCGCTCAGCTCTGTCTGAATGGCATGGCTGGCATGTGAGCAAGAGAGTAGCAGAGTGGAGCTGGGCTTTGTTCCCATTTAAATGCCAGGCTTGAACTGGACACAGATTGCCTTTCTTTTCTGTTGAAGTTGGGAGGTGTGTGCAGCTCTTTATACGTAAGGTCACATATTTGTTCGGTCACCAAGGAAGCTATATTTGGAGTGAGATTTAAAGAGCCTGAAAACCGGTCCAAGCAGCTTATAGCTGGGAGTAAAACAAAGCAAAAGGACGTGTTAGCAAGTGGGAAAGTCGACCTCCTGGGTTACAGCCTGCTTCTGCGTGGACTTGGCTGCTCTGTGGGACCCAAGTGAACCTGTAGGTTTGTTTCTGGTTTTGTTTTTAAGCTGCGCCGCACAGCTTGTGGGATCTTAGTTCCTCAGCCAGGATTGACCCCTGGCCCCTGGCAGTGGGAGTGATGAGTCCTAACCGCTGGACCGCCAGGGAATTCCCGAACCTGTAGGTTTGACTCCAGAGGGGGGTTGAATATAAATGTGGCCAGCACTTCATGGCCGCTCTTTACTGGTACTGGCCACTTGCAGATTCTGCGTCCTCAGATCACAGTCTCCCGAAAAGGGGAGTCATCTGGGACCCCCACCAGGCTGCACTGAATTGATCTGGTGGTGCCTTACACGCACGCACACATGCACGCACGTGCATAATGACTGATTGCTCAGAATGAGTTCCTCTAGGATCACCTTTTTTTCTCTAGTTTTCTCTTTAAATTTAACCTGAGTTTTGGGTCTCTTAGTTGGCTGCTGCATCAAATGATTCTTTGGTTTTTTGGTTTTTTTGCGGTACGCGGGCCTCTCACTGTTGTGGCCTCTCCCATTGCGGAGCACAGGCTCCGGATGCGTAGGCTCTGTGGCATGTGGGATCTTCCCGTACCGGGGCACGAACCCGTGTCCCCTGCATCGGCAGGTGGACTCTCAACCACTGTGCCACCAGGGAAGCCCGATTCTCTGGTTTTATAGGTTGCCTCCCAGTGATGCCAGATGGGATCAGCACAGCCCTGGGTGCTAGTTGCTAACGCCTATAAAATACCACCACCCCCTTCAAAGGAAAATCATTTAAGAGTTCTTTGGACTTCATCTTCAAAAGTAGCCAAAGAATTCAAGTGACAGGGTATCCCAGAAAATCTTTTGCAGTTAGTGAAATCAGGGTATAACTAAGAACATTCAGAATACTGCACACAGTTTAGGTGATCTTGGTATAGTGGCGGGACAGCAGTGATTACAAAATGAAAGTAATTAACATGTGCATGCTCTGTTGGGGAGACTAAAAGGAAAGAGGTGTTCAGCCCAGAAAAACATTTCTCAGTGGATTTCCTATGAAGTCAGTGTGTCTTGGGTATAACTTTGAAACAAATTAAAAAATTTTAAAACTGACTTACTAGCATTTGTGGATTTCAGGTTGAGACCCGTGTAAAAGCAGTGTTTTATTCTGTGACTCAGCATATTCTTTTATAAGTGAAAGTTTCAGAATAGTTGCAGGTAACAGGATGCAATCAGATGTTTTGGTGTTTATACGTTTCCCACTAAATTGTTCTTATACTCCTCTAACCGGTTGACAGGTTTTGGTAACTACAGATGTGATGGGAATAGGGAAAAATTAAGTATGGATAAAAATGGGTCCAGGCATCGGGAAGCTGTGGTTTCTCAAGTAGCTGCTTTAGCCATTAAAGCCTAAATGTCCGTTCACTTAATCACATGTCTCAATTTCTAAAGTAGCATTTTGATTCATCCCTCTTGTTAGGTGTGCTGATAGGATCGTCCCTTCAAAACCACAGACCCAAGGGCCAGGTTTTGGGCAGGGAGGCTCTTGCCTACCAGACCTGTGGAGACATCCCCCTGTCCCCTCCACTGCCTTGCGGGGTAGGGTGTTGGAACATCAGACTAGACATCAGGACAGTAAATCCCAGGGTTTGCTTAAGGGGTAGTACGGTGATAACTTAGTTGGTTTACACTTCTAATAGAAGCCCATGTAATCTAAAATAAAACTGCCTATATCAAGTCAAATTATTGAAGCCATGAGGTTTAGTGTCTGATAATGAGGGTTCATAACCCAGTAATGTCCTTTTGGTGACAACGTGGTAATACATCTCCAATGGGACTTTAATCAGGGGCCAGTAACCTTCTGCATGGTTGACTCCCATCAAATTCCCGTGGTTCTTGGATTCTGAATTCTTTGTGCTAAACACCCTGCATGATACACTACTTTCCCCAACACACACAGACACAATGGTTATCCACCATTTATGCAGTTATCTAGTTTCAAATCACATTTATCGGGGCAGAAGTGAGTCGGTCCTGTTCTCAGAAAGGCTGTTCCGATATGGCCTTGAGTTGAACTGCTTTGGAGTTTGCGTGAAGCTGGACATGCTAGTGGGAGGATTTGGGCTGAGAAGCGTGCGTTTGCTTCTGCTGCTTGATCTTTGTTAACTGAGAGACCCCGAGCCGCTCCACTGACCTCCTAGTCACCTCGTACCACTGCTGTCTTGGGAACGCTCAGCTATGAAGGATGCCTGCCTCACGCTGGTGAGGGGCAGTCTCACCTTGAGAGTGTTATCTTCGGTTTTAAAGACAAATCCAGCAGAGAGCAGTCTGTTTTTTCTTGGCCAGGGTTGGGATGTCTGCCTCAGACCAGATGAGCTGAGGACAAGGTGGGGTGTCCCACAAAGAATAGGCTTCAGTGACAGTCACACACCCACTCGGTGTCCTCTGTAGGGAAGAAGCGGGGGGAGGGTCAAGGACAGTTGGAGCCCCTCTCAGGCTGAAAAGACCAGAAGGCAGCTTTGGCCACTTGAGGGGCCAAGGGCCTCAGCTCTGCAAAAACACAAAGGTCTTGGGTGCTTCAGGGTCAGCGCTGGTACAGCCAAAGGATGCCAGCCTTGTGCAGGTCCTTCCACAGGGTGGCTTCCAGGGACAGGTCATGGTTCACGTAGAATATCAGTGGCTTCTTTATTCGTTCGAAATAGTGGTCAGAAAATTTCTGGTAGTTGCTTGTGATGAATCCATAGGCACTAACCTGGACGAGGACAGTCACTGAGTTAGCATTTATTGCGCTTCCACTATGTGTAAAGTGACGCGAATTTAGAAGCCACGTCCCCCCTTCCTTAGCTGCCTTGTGTTGTGTGAAGGTGAGGATAAACGGTTCTCGCCCACACTTTAATACCCTGAACTGTGCTCTTTCTGCACATTTTCTCACTCAGCCTTACAGCCATCTTGGGTAGATATTGTCCCCATTTTACAAATGGGGAAACAGGCTTAGAAAGGTAACCAGACGTGTCCCCCGTCACAAACTAGTAAGTAGCTGGGCTGGATTTTGAACTCGGGTCTGTGACACCAAAGCTGTGACCATTACTGTGCTCAAGATAGAGGCAAAAAGCCCCTTACCTCCTATTCTAGTGGTGACTGCAGACAAGAAGACTCCTGTTTAAAACGGGGAAAAGGTGACCAGAGTCCAGTGGTGCCTGGCCTCAGTTCTTGCGCTGGCTTCAGTGTGGGTCACTGCCTTTTCTTGAAAACCGCTTCTCAACCTCTCTCTCCGCGCACGTCATGTGGGCACCACCCCATCGAGAATGTCTCATACAGTGATTTCAGAGATTCCTTGTGTGGTTGGCTGCCCACCTTAGTTCTAGAATGTCTTCACAAAAAGATGTCTCTGCCCACTTTTGTTGAGAAGATTTTGCTTTCACAAGAGCAGTTGGATAAAATGTGCCTTAAATACCATATGGAGCAGCTGCCCTGGGGCAGAGGGTGTGAAAGAAGCCAGCCCAGGGGAAGGTGGCTGTGATTGGGAACTCAAGGCTGGCACTGTCCTATAAGGGACCCTGAAGACCACTTCTGCCATCCTGTTCCCGAGACCAAGATCACTCCTGCAGCTGGGGCATCCTTCCCCCACAGGATAGAGGCCCAGAGTCCCAGATCTGGGCCAGCAGGCCTCATGTAGGGGATATCATGGATCGAATTAGGTTCCATTCAAACCTACTTTGCTGCTGTGGGCTCCTGAGAGGGAAGACCTCTTACCTGGTCACAGGTATGCAGTGCTGTCAGCAACATGAGGGCTCCAGTACTAGGCATGTATAGGTCTCTGAATTTTGTGTTAATCCACTTGGATTTCAGAAACCTGGAATCAAAAAGAGCCATCAAAACTCAGGACTGGGCTTTCCTGGTGGCGCAGTGGTTGAGAGTCCGCCTGCCGATGCAGGGGACGCGGGTTCGTGCCCCGGTCCGGGAAGATCCCACATGCCGCGGAGCGGCTGGGCCCGTGAACCATGGCCGCTGAGCCTGCGCGTCTGGAGCCTGTGCTCCCCAACGGGAGAGGCCACAACAGAGGCCCGCGTACCGAAAAAAAAAAAAAAAAAACCAAAAAACTCAGGACTTTTGGTCTTGCACACTAACTAGCTTGATGGTTGTGCCATTACACCAATTTGGTTGGAAAACTGCAAAAATTTCCTGCCCTTCTACCCCAACCCATCCCCTATTTGGGAAAAGACTAAATGAACTATACACAAAAATCTTTGGTTGAGATAACAAAGAGGAACAGGTCCTCCCAAAGGATCGCAGGTGAGAGCCTTCCCCTTCCTCCCACTCTCTAGAAGCCTGAATCCAGTCTAACTCACCTTTCCTCTCTGCAACACCCTCCTGCACCACAGTGTCTAGGGCAAAGGTGGCCTAGTTAATTAGCCGGAGATCTAAGCTTCTACCTCCAGACTTTGGCCAAGCAGGAGCCAGGTATGAGGACAGAGCACACAGGTCCTGTGACTGGAGGCACCGGTGAGGTGATGCATGTGTGTGTGCACACGTGCACACATTCAGAGACACCCAGAACAGTCCAAAAGTGAGGCCACAGTATGGTGACCACAGGGCTTGACCTCAGCCCTGGATTCTCATCTAGGCTTTGCCAGGCAAATCACCTAGCCTCTCAGCCTGGTCTTCCTCTGTTGAATGGTCTTCAGTTTGCCTCCCCGACCCACCTGCCACCCCTGGCCTGCTCTGTGTCTTAGGACGCTAGCCTCTGGGCTGTAGCGGGGTTTCTCAGCTGCAGCACTACTGTTACTCAGGGCCAGATAGTTCTTTGTTGCAGGGGCTGAGGTCTCGTGCATTGTAGGATGGTCAGCAGCAGCCCTGGCTTCTGCCCACTCGGGGCACACACGCTTTCCTAGTGACAACCAAAAGTATCTCCAGACCAGGACAGTTGACCTGCCTCCTGCGGAGAACCACTGGTAGGAGGGGGGTGGGGTTTGAGATCTGCAGGCAGGTGTTCCCCAGGCTCCTCCCATGGTTTCCTGTGTTTGAGCTGTGATCAGGCCCGCAAGTGATGACAACTCGGCTTCTAGCAGTCCCAATACAGCCCCACATCTATGGTCCCCCCATGCCTGACCTAAGGCTTTCTGAGCTTTCCTAGTAAGGAAACCTGATGAGTTCCCTCTCCATTTCCCATCTACCTTGACTGACAGAACACCACCTCCATCGAGGTATAATACTCAAAGTAGTAAGTGAGGCAGTGTAAGTGCTTGCGGCGTCCTCGTACATGGCCCCCCTGTGGGTTTAATCCTTAGGGGAATAAAGCCGGTGCTGCCGGTGGGTGTGGAGCCAGGGGCGGGGGTGAAGCAGTTCTTCCCAGCACCACCCCTACCCCCACCTACCTCTCTGTCAGGTAGCTGATGAAGTCTGGATGGAGTAGCTTGAATTTGCTGGCGGAGGCTTCTGGTCCAAAATAGGTCTGAGGCCTAGGACCCACGATAGACGTGGACAGAGGGGCCGGTGCCGTTGTACGGCCCGTTGGGGAGTGAGGAGAGGGGAAGGGCGCCGGGACGGTGGCGGTGTGTGGACCAGTAGGGGCGGGGCTGGACGTAGTAGCGGGAAAAGGGGGTGTAGAAGGTGGCGGGCAGCACCGTGGGGACCACGTGCGGCTTCCCGCCCACCAGGACCTCCAAGGGCGGGGTGTACGTGAGAGAGGAGGGGGGTGTGAACAGAGCGGGAGGGGTCGGGTAGGAGCAGTTGACCGGGTAGTGGGGAGGGGGTGGGAGGAGAGGGAAGTAGAGAGACTCAGCGGGGGCGCGCTCTTGGTTCTGGGAAGGGCAGGGGAAGCACTGGTTTTGGGGGAGTGGTGAGGTGGGAGGCCGGAAGAAGGGGGGCTCCTTCAGGAAGTGGGGCACATAGGGGGCGATGTAGGGCGGTATGCGCCGAATGGGCCCGATGTAGGAGGCCGAGGGTGCAGGGCTGTAGGATGGGGACTGAGCGCCGGGCACTGGGGGAGTTTGGGAAGAGTTTCGAGAGAGAGATTTTAAACCAGATTGGGAGGGAGATTTGGAGACGGGCGGAGTGATGTTTTGGGCAGACCCTCGAGGCTGGACATGAGGGCTAGGGGTCAGGGAGGAAGACCGGGAAGAGGGCTGTGAGGCATTTGGGGTGGCAGGGTGAGAGGGGGGACGGGAGGAAGACCCCCGGGTGGGGGACGGGGAAGGGGCTGAGCCACCGGCGCTGGCGTAGGGCTGCTGGTTGGTGTGGTTGGATCGGGACTGAGAGGGGGACTGGGAGGGGGACGGATTAGGGGTGTGGGAGGGGGAGCTCATTGGTGTTGGGGAGGCTTATGTCAGCTCGATGTCTTTGAGCCAGCCCCCCCAGAGCCAGTCCCGCCCCGCGTCACAAAGCCCACCCTCATGACCAGTTGCAGCATTGTGAGCTCTTGCAACGGATTGTTAGGTATTCACGAGGGGGGTGGGGCACAGGGCAGGGCTGGTGGAGCCCGGCCTCGCCTCTGAGGGCTTAACCCCCAAGGAGGCCTCAGAAGCTGCTCTTTCATGGTGGGTGAGATGTCCTGGAGCCACCGAGATGGGAGGCTGGTCATTGTCACGGGGGTGGCACAGATTTCTAAGGACCTGACTCAGGGACAAGAAATTGTCTCAGCACCACAGGGAGGAGGTTTAGATGAGGACAGGACATGGTTCAAAAGAGCTGGACACAGGCCTGCTGCCCAGGAAGGTGGGGGAGAAAAGACAGAGGACCCTTTGTTCCCAGTTCGCCAGACACTGGACTCACATCGCCTGCTCTCCCATTTCATGGGCAGTCTTGGGAGGGTGCCCGCCAAGAGGAATGGAATGGATACTGGCCCCCACTCTTGGTTTCCAGACACAATGTGCTGGACAGGTCCTGCGGCTGCCACTGGCTGGATGGCTGGGTTGTTTGTGGGGACAGCAGCCCGAAGCTGAGGGGCCAGGCCTGCCTGCTCAGAAAGGAGCCCCTCGAACCTACAGCTCACCTTGTCAGGAGGGTCCCTGGGGACCAGCAGCGTTACCTAGGCTTTCCTGGGGGTAGGAAAAGAGCTTAATCTTCTAATGCTCTGTTGAACTCGGGGGTTTTCTTGCCGCCTTCACCCACCTTTCCCATCCGACAGTGGACCCTGGGAGCATTACCATGCCCTGCCCCCTGCCTGGCTGCTCACCTGTCCCCTTTATCGGGGCCCTCAGGGACAGGCACCCCTAGAATGGCCGATCTTAGCATCATGTAGTCGCGGATGTCTGAGGGGATGAAGATATAGCGCAGGTCCTGTCGGAGGGACAGAGAAACAGCCGCAGTGGGAACGAGACCACGTCAAGATCCTGCTCAGAGTGGACCGCTCTCCGCCCAGTCTGTCTGCCCTGACGGGAGCATTTCCCTCTTATGCCTGTAATTCCCACTTTCAGGTACCCTGCTGGTTTCAGTACTCAAATCCTTCGATACTCTTCCCTTCAAGAAGCGATGCTTAATTGCCATCCCCTTGAGTGTGGGCTGGACTTAGTGACTAACGAACAAAATTTTTCTAACGCGTAGGAAAAAGTGGAAGTAAGGAAGGGTATGTGACCTTGGAAAGTGGGTCATAAAAGGCACTGGAGCTTCCTTGCTCTCTGGGATCGCTCACTCTGGGGGAGCAAGGGCTGTGAGGGAGCCATCTGAGCTCCAGCCAGAGGCAGGCCTGAGGACTGCAGCCCCTGCCCGTCCTGACCACGACCACTGGGGGACCCTGAGGAGACCCCGCTGAGCTGCTCCTGAGTTCCTGACCCGTGAAAACTGTGAGATAATCGGTGTGTGTTGCTTAAAGCTACTAGGTTTGGGGGTAGTTTGTCATGCAGTTATAGATAATGCCTACAGGTTCTGTGGCTACACCAGAAGTGGAGCTGTCCCATGTTGTTCTGTCACGAGCTGAAAGAGGCCTCGGTGCACAGACACTGTGGCTAGGACACCCCTGAATTCCCTGGTCAGAGGAGGAAGCGTCTAGAAACTCAAACCAGTCCTACTGAGCATCCCAGAACCCTTATCCTGGGACTTCCCTGCTGCATGTGGTAACCAGCCCGCTCTAGAAGCGAAGCACTGTGTTACAACCACCAGCTGTGGTTGAAAGAAACTGGAAGCGGCAGACAGACTCAGATTCCAGTTCTCTTGCTCCGAAGCTGGGGCTCTGGGCGTGTTTTCCTCGATTGCTCAGCTGAGCCTCAGCTTCCTGCACGGACTACTGTGAGCCCTCAGGAGGGCACACATCATTCTTCTAGTGAGCAGCGTGAGAGATGGAAACAACCCTGCACTGCGGTCAGAGGGGCCTGGATTTTGATGATTCTGGCTGGGTGGTGGCCTTGGACACACCGCTCTCTGGAAAGGGGCTGCTGTGATGCCTGTATCCGGTGCTGGGAAGGGGGGAGGCACTCAATAAATACTGTGTGTAGCCTGAGCTCTGGGTGCGGGGGAGTCTGGATTTGAATCCAGCCCCACCGCTGCTTTACTGACTGAAGGGGCCCTGAGCCTTAGTCTCCTCACCAGTAAGAGAGGGCTGGCGTGGCCTCTGTAAGTGCCTGGCATTCCATAAGCTTTCAGTCAATATTCATTCGTGTTCCACCCCAGAGTTGTCCTGAGCCACCTGAAACCACAGGGCGCCCCTGCCCAGATCCGCCCCTTCAGTGGCTCCATTGCGTGGGCCCAAGACCCTGGCACAGCCTCTCTATGCACTGGGCTGGGGCTTGGGAACCCTGTGGCCCACCCCTCAGACACGGGTTGGGAAACAATGGCACTGACTGTCAGTGGCAGCCTCACCTGTCCCTGTGGCACAGAGGTGAAGCCCAGGTTTGAGTAGGAGATGAGGGAGTTCTTCATTGTGTTTACAGTGAAACCGTAGAAGGAGGTCTTGGTGCCCACGTCCTTCTCAAAGCCTTTGATCACAGCACCATTGAGTCTGGTCCAAACAGAGGCCCATCAGCCTGCTTGTGGCTACACGATGCTGCGTGTTTACTTCCATCCCCAGGGGGCCTCACCTGTCCCTGTTCCATCCCCAGGGTTCTGTCACTCCCTCTGCCCACAGCAGCCCCAGTGCCCGGTCACTAGCCCCATCCCCACAACTCGGGACCTGAAGGGATGCCCTGTGAAGTGGACAAAGCTGACCCTGGCAGCTCCTTCCTCCTGGGTCCCCTTAGCCGACCACACCCTCGCTTATCTTCAGGGCCTGTTTGCGTAATGCCTTTGTCCGTGCCTGTCTGCCCGTTACAACTGCTGAGCTGCCTGAGGCCACTGCTGCCTTGGCCCATGCCCTCACCTATGATGCTCCCCCCCAGGGGCTGGCTGGGGACCAGCTCTCCACCCAGCTCCTCTCCTGCTTCCTCCCTGGCCCCTGCCCCACATACCTGAACACGTAGTCATGGGCATCGATGTTCTGACCCTGGCGGGAACCATTCAGAATGCCTCCATTACCCACCACGGCACACCGGATGCAGCCCGGAAGCAGCTCCCTGGAGACAGCAAACAGCCTGGTGCTCTCAGAGCCATTCAGGAGGCTCAGGGTGGAGGCGATGGCTGTGGGTGTGGGACAGGGTGGGGCACCACGAGGGGTCACATGGGTCATTGGGGCCTTCCCAAGACTTCCTGGCTCCCCACCTGCCCGAGGCCTGACACCAGCCCCTCTCCAGAGGCACAGAGGGTGGAGGACAGTGAAATGCCAGTGGGAAGAGGGTGGTGGGGCAGGGGGTTTGGCTGTGCCCTCAATCATCTCAAGAACTCATACCAGTCCTCCCAGGACCGTGTGTATTCCCAAAGAAAATAATCGAGGCATGGTGGGGCGGGGGGCAGATTTAACGTGGAGGGGGCTCTGGGCGGTTTCCCACAGCAGCAACCATCCGCAGGCTGTTTGAGGCCTCACAGCCGCTGTCCTCGGCCACCTTTGGGCACTGGCATCTTTCACACCAGGGAAGCCCCAGGATGGTGAGAGCCACTTGCAGGGGCAGCCAGGCCCCTCTTCTGGACACTGGTGCTTATAGAGATGAGGGGGGAGGGAGTCAGGAGTCACACAGCAGGGGTGTTGAGCCCTGAGGCCCGCCTGGGAGGAGGAGGCAGGGGGTCCACATCTTGGTGCTGTGAGGGAGGAGAGGCCCATTCTGCACCAAGGCCAAAAGCAGGAACAATGGACTAGTTGAGGTCAGAGGGCTGCAGGCTACCTTGGCCGGAGAGCCCCTGCCAGCCATAGGGGGCTTTGTGCCGGCTCAGGCTGTCCCAGAGCTCCTGGGTGAAGAGGTTCCCTGACAGCAGCACTGGAATGGAGAGATCAAACAGATCCCGGAAGTGAGGGTGCCGTTGAATGGCGAGATAAAGTGGGTGTCGACAGGGCAGGTTCTGTGGGTGAGAAGAGAAGAGGGCTGTTTCTGGGGGTTGGGGTGGGTAGGAGCCACCAGAGGGCTGGAAGGGAAGTGCCGCTCTTCTCCCTCTAGACTTGGGCAACTCCCCGATCTGCAGGCCCAGGGGGCCTGTAGTGCAGCAGCCCAGTGGGGCTGAGAGCTTTCTGGATTTACCCTGCCCAGCCCTTCTCCTGGATGCCACATCTGGGGCCTGATGGCTCTGGCCTCCTACAACTTCACCTCACACTAGGGGGGAACTTTGAGGCATTTTCCCACAAATGGGTAAGACCTGCCTGCCCTGTAGTGGAGGAGGAGGTCCAGCCTGGGCTTAGGAATCCGTCAGCCTGGATCCAAATCCTAGCTCTGGCAGTCCTTGCCGTAGGATTCACGTGGAACAGGCTGCTGGGAAGACTTATGACATGTTTCTGCCGGTCGGTGCCTATACTGAATTGAAGAGTGTTCCCTCCCCCAATTCATGTCTGCCTGGAACCTCAGAATGTGACCTTATTTGGAAATAGGGTCTTTGCAGGTGTAATTAGTAAGATGAGGTCATACTGTATTAAGGTGGGCCCTAAATTCAATGACTGGTATCCTCATAAGAAGGCATGTGCTGATGGGGGCAGAGATTGAGTGATGCAGCTACAAGCCAAGAAACACCTGGAGCCTCCAGACGCCAGAAGAGGCCAGGAGGGATTCTTCCCTAGAGCCTTCAGAGGGAGGCTGGCCCTGCTGACACCTTGATTTCAGACATCTGCCCTCTAGAACTGTGAGAGAATCCATTTCTCTTGTTTTAAGCCACCCAGTTTGTGGTAATTTGTTCCAGCTGCCATAGAAAGCCCTCGAGGGCCTCTGCACACAGCGACCTTGAAGGAGGGCAGTGTACCAAAAAGGCCTCAGCTCCATCTGCCTGCAGCCCCCATGTCAGAATCCTGAACAGCCTCGGCTTGGGTGGAGCTGTTCTTCCCACTGAAGGGGGCTCTTTGTTAAGCCGTTGGTTTGATCAAAGGACAATGCAGGAAAGAGCTGTACAGTCATTTCTGCTTTTATGTGACATATGAGTGCCTAAAAACCATTATGCAGAATTGTGCAACCAAAACCACAGGGCTTCGGGGAAAAGGGATTAGCAGCGCAACACTCAAAAACTTGATCAGTGATGCATAAAATAAGAACGTGGGTAAGATAGGAGCAGTTTTACATACATTCGCTGGTTAAGAAATATATAAGTACTACTAAAAATATGGCACTTGACCTTGGAAAAGACTTGACATTTGCTTGGGGATGTGGGTGTCGGAAGGGTGGCAGCTTGGGAGTTTTCGTGAAGTGGTGGAAAGCTGGTTATAACGTATGCGATGAAGCGGATGGCTATCTGAAGTGTGCGTGTGTGCCTTTTGTGTATTCCTACATGGCTCCCTTTGGTTGAGTGTGGTTTTCCGCATTTACCAGTGTTCTTGCTGACAAAATCACTGAAAACACACACGGAATTTGGATTATGCTCATATTGTTTACTAATATAGCAAATCTTTATGGAACAAATTCATGTTTTCAAAGCAAGCATTAAGCCGAACTGACAGCGCTAATTTCACTACTATTCGGTTTATCATAGGGATGTTTTCATAGGGCCTTCTTTACGAGGCTCCAAGAGAAAAATCTTCAGGTCTCTGTATCTGGAAAGGCTGCACTTTCCTTGGGCAGCTGGCTTGCTTTTTACCTCATGGACAGGGTGGCAAACTTTCCTTCTTTGCCGTGGCCACTAGGAAGCTAAGAGCCGGATATATAGCCCATCTCTTACACCCTGTGGCATATTTTTCATGCACTTATCTGGCGTTGTCTAATTTTCCTCCCTTTATTTTTCCTTTACCTGCTTCTTCATTTTATTCTTTTTTTTTGCCATGTCATATGTGCCCGAAAGCCACCTCAAATCCTTTTTTTAAACGAGGTGGGGAAATATGTCAATTAGCACCAAGCAGCTCAAGGTGAAAAGGACTTTAGGAAAAGTAAAGGTGACCTGACCAAGCACTTATAAGACCCTCGACGCCTCTCTTCAGCCCGCTGGCCAAGTGTCCACCCGGCCTCTGTTATCAGGAAGGGGTCCCCATCACCTGCCCAGGGCTGCCTACTCTGTCTCTGACCGCTCAGCGGTCACTAAGTCTTGCATGGGGTGAAATCTTGCTCCCTGAGGCTTCAGTTAACAATTTCCAGTCTCTGGGGCATTAAAAACAACTCTTAAACCCGAATCAAGCCAGAATTACACAGTCATCACCCCTCCCAACCACAGCACGCAGAGGGGGTGAGGCCGTATTGCTCAGTGGTTCAGAGCCAGGCTCTGGGGTCGAATGAGAAGCTCGAACCCCTGTACCACCTCTTCTCCATAAGTGACCTTAGCCTTTCTGCGCCTCATTTTACTCATCTGTAAAACTGCCTCACAGGCTTGCAATGAGGCTTAAGTGAGAGAACTCACGTAAAACGCTTGAGACGGCCTTTCAGGCCACAGTCAGCGTGATCTGTTATAGAGCAGGGCCCGGAAGTGCTCAAACGTCTTCCCAGGGCTTGGTGTTTACTTCATGGTGAGCAGTTTAAATGTGACTTTTACAGTAAAAAGACATTTTGAGGAGTAGAATGTAAAGGTCACAGGACTTTTAAAGACAAATCGAGACTTCCCAGAACTTTTCAGCTGGCTACACCCCAAGGAGTAAATATGGAGTCACCCTTCTCTGCTGTTAGGGTTCAGGGAACCTCCGTGGTCAGGTGTGAGGAGCCCTGACTGGCTGGCTGCTCAGTTCTCTGCTTCCTTTGGGGGAATGGCGGTGGGGGGGGGGGGTTCCAGAGTGCTCCCGCCAGCAGGCTCCTGAGAATGTTCTCATTTGTGCTTCTCCTTCCCCTTTTCCCCCCAATGCTAACTTGAGAATGTGAGAAACCGCCCCAGGGTAGCTGGCCCCAGTACCTTTCTCGTCGTAGAATTCGATGCCTTGGGTCCAAAGAAAGCTCGAGACGATGTGATGTTCCTGGGGGAGAAGGCAGAAGTAAAGCAGGGATCTCACCTGCCCCTGGAACCTGCTGTCTGGCTCTGTTAGCTCTGGGGGCTGACATTCCATCAGGGTCTGATTGTTTTTTCTGTGCTCTGATTCTTGCCCATCCCTCTCTCTTTGGGCACACAAAATACGGTCCTATTATTATGTTCTACCCAGAAACCAAGAAATAAAGAAGCCCCTTGGCAAGCGGCTGAAATGTGGAGTGTATAGGAACAGTGAGGTGGTGGTTAAGAGATGAAAATATAAAATAGGAAAGATTGCCAGCCCCCTGGGATTGTGACCATCTGAGGGGTCTCCCTGCCAAAAGGCCCCAGAAACAGGTGTTAGATCCCAGGTGCCTTGGGCCCCCTTCACCTGGTGAAGGGCATGGGTCTGAAGCCTGACTCCGTGGATTTGTATCCCAGGATCTCTGGAAGCTACTGAACTTCTCGGAACCTCAGTCTCTGTGTCTGTTCAGCTGGGGTAATCATACAAGTGTGAAGATAATCACATTGAGACAGGCTGGGACCTGGGGGCCTTTGCTGCAGTGCTTGCACGTGGACAAACGACCCCTCGAGCCACAGAATGCAAGGAAACTTATAAGGGACTAAAAATAGCTGGGTGCGTGTGCAACTGGGGCAAATTATGAACAACAAGATACAAAAAGACCAAAACCTCAGCAAAAGCAGGGTGTCGAGCAAAAGCAGGATACTGCACGTGTACCCTGCACAGGTAGTACCACCAAGGGGGTGGGCACCTAAGCACCCCCTCTGACCCAACGCCTGGACCCATTCCTACTGTCACCCAGTATAAGGAACCAACTCGCGCCCCCCCCTCCCCCAGGGAGCAAGCAAGGGAACCTGTTACTTGTTTTCGCTTCCCCCTACTGCAGCAGGGGCCCCAGTAAAGCCTTGCCTGAACTGTTGGGAGGTGCAAACACAGAATTTATGTTACCTTACATAAAAAGCCTGCCTTCAGGTTTGTGAAAGACCATGGAGGAGCAGGCCAGGAAAAGCAGGGTGATCCCTTCCCCCACCTGTCCCTTGTGCCCCAGAGGGGCCACCCACATAATCCTGTAGTTCGTCTTTGAGGAACTGGGACTGTGGTGCTCAGCCTAGGTGGCCTTCGAGAATCCTAGGGAGCTTTTGCTCCCTCCCCAGTGATTCTAACACGCAACCAGGCTTGGAACCTGATGGAGGAACTGCTGAATTGGTGGAATAGAGACAGAAGGGACAGAGTTGTGGGGCGGGGCTGGGGAGCCCCCCAATCCAGTTTTGCTGCTCTGAATTGCCCCAGCCTCAGGGAGGCCTGCTCCTCTCTCCAGAGCACCCCTTACGCTCACAGACTTCCCCCAGCCCCTCCCACTCCGGAATCCATGGGCATTTACACACCAGCCTGGGAGCTGGGAAGGAGCGGGGAAGGGGCCAGCCCAGCTCACCCGCACCCCTATGGAAAATTTAACCAGCCCGAGGAGAAAGGAGGTCGATGTTGTGCAGTTTTTCATAAAACTAAATTTACTCAACTTAGATCATATTCTTAGGAATTCTTCGCCCTAAAATAGCCTTTTCTTTTACAAAATAATGTTCACGGTAGATGGTAACTGGCAGGTAACTGGCGTCCTGTAGTATCCTCACCCCCTCCTCCAGAAAAAAACAAGTCTAGAAATCCAAGCCCAGGAACTACTGATTCAGATTCTTCTGTGAGTAAATTCCTGAACCGATTCCACTCTCTAACCTGCAAGGAGAGCCCCGTCTCGGGTGTGGTAGGCCTGGTCCCAGGGCCTTGCTTCCCTGGACTCTCCACTGTAGCCAACCAGGTAGGTCCGTTTTTGGTCTCCAGTTGGGGAGGTCGCACAGCCTGCTGTCCCCGCTCAGATTTCCATCCCGCCTGCCACCCTGCTTACCCACCTCCTACGGAGACTGAGTCTGGACCTGGCCCCTGGGGTTTAATTACAGCACAGACATCACCAAAACAACAAGGATATGGACAGGTTCTTGGGTTGTACTAGATTTTTGAAAGATGAAAGATCTTTAAGAAAAGCTTTGTTGAGGTGTAATGGATGTTCAGCAAACCTCATATTTAGAGTGGTATTAGTTTCTTTCAACAGATGTTCAAGTGTGTTTCAAAACATCCTTACATAAAACTGACAAGGATCCCCTTTCTTAATACCCTCAATATTCTCAGTCCTCCTTATGCAATTTCTGACTCCAGGGAGATGAAATAACTTCAGGTGTTGCCTGTTAGAGCGCCTTTTGTTCTAAAGGGACCGGACTCATCACCAGTGGCAAGGGTGTTTCATATTGTTTGGAACTTTGGGTGGCTTCTGACCTTGTTTCCTGATAGCAGACACTAATTTTGATTTCATTGCCTTATTCCCGGAGCAAGGTTTAGTAAGGACTGTGCCGGTGGGAAAGCGCTGGGAAGGGAAAGACAGGCCCCGCAGGCCTCAGAAATCCAGGCTCTGGGCACAGCTTGGCCCACCTTCCAGAAGTAAAGCTAAATCCTTTTGAGGCTTCTTCAGTAACTGGAACCATCACCTAGCAAAGGCAGGCTCTCAGATTTCTCCTCCTGGGGCACAAATGAAAGAAAGGTGCCCAGGGTCGGCGAAAGGGAGCGGAGCGCAGGAGGAGGCTCAGGGGCGGGAACTTGGATGGAGCCCAGGATGGGCCCCAGTTCGCCGATCGCGCCCGATTGCGCCCAGACGGTGCTTATCAAAATAAACGGAGCAGAGAGCCGGGAGTTAAGGGAGCCCGGCGCGGGGAGGGCGGGGACCACAGCTAGAGGGAGAGGCGACCCGCCGCAGCCCGGCTGAGGAGCCCGGCCAAGTTGGAACCGGGAGACTTGGATTCCTGCTCCCAAGGAGAGCTTGAAAAAAAACGTGACGTTAGCGAGGGACAATGGGTGGCAAAAACGGGACTGTTTTTAAAAGATTCAGGTGTCCTAACCAAATCTGGACAATAGAAAGGGTTTCTACTCAGGGCCGGAGGGAAGTAAGCGTAAGGTTGTCGGGAGCGGATCGCCGGTGCGCAAGGGGCGAAGCTCCTCTCCGACCCCGGCAGAGGCTGTGGGGCCCCGGCAGCACGAGTTTAACGCCGGGGTGGAGGCTCTGGGGACAAAGGGCCGCAGCCCGAGTGCCCGCGGCAAGCCACCCCGGAGGGCGGCCCAGCCCTGAGCTGGGCGCCCCGCGCGTCCCCGGCGCCCCGCGCGTCCCCTGCGCCCTCCAGACAGGTCCCGCGCGGCAGCCCCTACCTGGCTCCGGTCAGGGGCCCCGGGTACGACTCCACCGCCGAGGAGTACAGGGCGACGAGGATCCCCAAGCAGACAGCCGCGAACAGGAGCAGCAGCCAGAAGACAGGGACGCGCGGGAGCCCCATGCAGCCCCGGCCCGCGGGCGCCCCGTCGGCCGCAGTCCCGGGCGGAGGGGAGAGGCCCGGGTGGGCCGGGCCGCACTCCTGGACTCTGTGGCCCCTCCCCGCCTATCTCCGTTCTGCCCGCGCCGAGCCTCCGGACGCCGCCGCACCCTCGGGGCCTGCGCGACGGGTCCCGGGGGGGAGAATGTAGCGCCGGCGCCGGGAACTGCCCTCGCCCCGCCGGCGCCCAGCCCGGGGACACCGCGAGCCGTGGTTGGGCAGGGCGCTTCCCGGTACCTTCAAGGGCGGGCGCGCGCGGTCTGGGAGCTGCGGGGCGCGGGGAGACGCCGCCACCTGCCGCGTGGGCTGCGCACTGCGCCCTCGGGGGCCCCGGCTCGCGGCTTCCCGACGACGCCCGAGGCCCATGGGAGGGGCGGCGAGGATGGAGGAGCGAACGCTGACAGCCCAGACCCTGGGTAGAGCTGGAGGGGGTGAGGTAGGGGGCCTGCACGGTTGGGATGGGTGGGGGAGCTGAGGCTGTTCATTCTCCTCATTTGGTGACTGACTGGCTGGGGCTCTCAATCGCACTGCCTTCCTGTTACAAACCGAGGCCAACCTGGAGATCTCAGCAGTCCATTGACACCTGAAGGGTGTAGCAGGGAATCCGGCGTCAGCAGGAAGGGCTGGGGAAGCTCGGGCACTAGTGCTCTGGAAGCAGAGCCCTTCCAGGGAGTGAACAGTAGGTGACACAGTGTATTTTCCAGTGGGCCACGTCCTGGCCTCAGAAACCTGTGAAATACCCCAGACTCCCCACCCCCGCCCCCCAACTATCAGAGCCTGCAATGACAGGGACCTTGTCCGTTTCTACCGGCTTTCTGCTCTCCCCTGTTCTTCACGTATGCGAGCAGGTCTGGGTGCAGCAACAGGTATCTGTCCAATTGCAGAGCTTCCCAGAAAGCTTCCTGGAGCCTCTGCTCGTGGGCAGGAATGGGTCCTTCAGGCTCAGTTCTCACAATTTAAAAAAATGCACCTTGCCACCCTGCTGATGGACACTACTTAGAATTGATGGTTTCGAGTCTTTTCCTTTAATCTTTATGGTTTTCAATCGCCAAAACCCCTGTCCTTGTTACTTATCCCATGATCAGCACCTTCTCCCATTTCTTCAGTGATTGATAAAACATCAAACATATCTCTAAGCCCCCCAATTGCAAACCTATCCCTCTCTCTCGTGACAGCCTCACCTACTTCATGAAGAAGGGGAATCACTGTTGCATACATACGAACGAGTCACCTACATACAAACAAGTTCTGTTCGGAGAGTGTGTTCTAAGTCCAGTTTGTTTCGTAAGTCCAACGAAGTTAGCCTAGGTACCCAACTAACACAATCAGCTATATAGTACTGTACTGTAATAGGTTTATAATACTTTTCACACAAATAATACATAAAAAACACAGAAAAAGAGAACATTTTTAATCTCACAGTACAGTACCTTGAAAAGTACAGTAGTCCCAGCTACATCACCGCTGCTTTTACACTTGCTTCCGGACATCCTGGGCTTGAAATAAAGATACTGTACGACTGTGCCCTACACAGCGCTGTACAGTAAAGTGCACAAAGCACAGCCACTTGTAGAGGGCGCACGCACGTGACAACGTACGCCAGACACATAAACTAACTTACGTGATTGGACGTGCAAACACATGTTCGCATCTTTGAAAGTTTGCAACTTGACGGTTTGTATGTAATGTCTTCAACTTTCCATCTTCAAACCTACAAACTTGGCCCCCACCACAGTCCAGCTTCCACCCGCCTGGACTCCAGCCTCAAGTTGGCGAGGGCTCTCCTCCTGTGTCGGGTTGACCCTCCACCATCTGTGTTAAGGATTTGGATCCACCTCCAGTGCCTAAAAAGCAGTACCCCGCTCAGACCAGAGTCTCCTATCCACCATGTGGGGTTCTCCTTCCTGTCTGCAGCTTGCAGTCTCTCCACCCCTCCTCTCTGTCTCCCAACAGATCAGCCCTCTCCCCGAAGCTTTCTTTCCTATCCAGCCAGGACCCGGGGAGTCATAATCTAAAAGCTACTCTCTCATGGTAACCCAGATTCTCTTGTCTTCCTGGCTTTCCGCCCAGCAGAACTCCAACCTGGATTCACACTCTGATCTGCCTGTGTAGTGTCCCCTCCCCCATGCTGCCTGCTCCCCGGCCTGGCCGACAGCTGCTAGCCAGTGTCTTATTCCAGAGTAGAACGGTGCGCGTTGTGCGTCAGCTGGGCTCCCCACACCAGCCGTCTCCTTGTCCTTGTCCAGCTTCCATCCTGCTCAATGGTGATTCCAGAGCGTCACCTCTTTCCTCAAGCCTCCTCTTCTCCCTGCCATACCTCTGAGAGAGGTGCTTCAACTTCCCATGCCCTCAACTACAAAGTCACCCCTGGCCAGAACTGTGAAGGGTGTGGGGTTTACCCTACGTTCAGGCTAACAGGTCAGCCTGCTACAGTTTTATGGACGCTGGCAGAAGAAACGAGACTACAGGGTCAGAGACAAAGGACATGACTACTCATGACACAGCAAGCAACATAGACTTCATGAGAAGTCTTGCCCCTCCTTGCCCCTCAGACCCCACAAGGGTGAGGCAGAGGGACCTAGGAGGTGCCACACAACGGGTTTGCTGCACGCTCAATGGGTCTGCAGCACAGCTGAGGAACCCTGAACGAGGAAAAACAGAATCTTCTACAGTGGGCTGCAAGCAAACCTGCCCTTGCCCTAGAGGGAGGCATTAAAAACTATGCTGGGGGGCTTCCCTGGTGGCACAGTGGTTGAGAGTCCGCCTGCCGATGCAGGGGACACGGGTTCGTGCCCCGGTCCGGGAAGATCCCACATGCCGCGGAGCGGCTGGGCCCGTGAGCCATGGCCGCTGAGCCTGCGCGTCCGGAGCCTGTGCTCTGCAACGGGAGAGGCCACAACAGTGAGAGGCCCGCGTACCGCAAAAAAAAAAAAAAAAAATTATGCTGGAAGTAAGAAAATCTGCCCTCTACTCCAGGTGGGGGCATTATCTTTATCTTCCAAAACTGGTTGCTGTCTACTAACGTTCTTGGAAAGAGTCTGGGACAATAGGCAGTTAGAGCGTCTGCTATCATGTGCAAAATAGGCCCCACGCATTGAGGCCTCCCAATGTACTCATACCCATGCATCTTCACCTGCACCCCTGCAGGCTCTCCTCCAGGGAAAGCCGGCCTCCCTGCTGTGTGCTCCCACCTCTTCTGGTCTTGCTTTTGCAGCCATCTCCTCCCTATCTACAGGGTCCTTATCCTGGCCTTTGAACACGCCCCCAAATATCTCATCCTGAGAAGCAAAGCAAAGCAAAACAAAGTCAAACAAAACCTCTGTTGAGCTGACCCTCTTAGCTACCCTTTCCTTTTCATCCTTGTCCTTGGAGGGAAGTCCATGCTGTCACCATTTCTTTCTGAATCTGGTTTCTTTACCTACTTCACCACTGAAACTGTCCCCAGTGAGGCTTACCAGGGCCTTCAACATTCCCAGTGGGACAACGGAGCAGACATTTTCCAGTTCTAGTCTCGCTGTGTCTGCCTCTGACTCTGAATTTGAAAAAAAAAAAAAAAAAGAGTCCGCCTCAGGGCTACTTTTAGGCTTTGTTAAATCCAACATCCAGCCACTCCCACGAGGTGGTTCCTGCTTCCTGCCTTTTTCCAATGTGAGTTATGCTTTCTTGTGTGGACCTGAAACAAGCAGACGGACAGATATTCCTCCAGCAAAAATGGTTTTATCTGACCTACTGTGTAGCACAGGGAACTATATTCAATATCTTGCAGTAACCGATAATGGAAAAGAATCTGAAAAAGAATGTATATATAGATATCAATATGTACAATGTACAACTGAATCACTTTGCTGTACACCTGAACCTAACACAACACTGTAAATCAACTACACCTCAATTAAAAAAAAAATTGGAATCAGCAGAGAATTGGAATTCAGGGTCTGCAACTATGGACCATGTGCAAGTCCCCCAGGGCAAGGGAAGGAGATGGCTTTTATAGAGGGGAAAAGGGAGTTGGGAGGGCTACTCCATGGCTTTTTCATTGGTTGAGTCCTTGCCAGGAAGGAAGAGGAGTCTTTCTTCTTCCTGTTGGGTTCTGCAGCCCTCGCAGGGCATGAGAACTACCCTCTTCCATCTCCCGGCTCTATTTAATTGAAGTTTCTGTTTATTAATTTTTTACGCCTGCTTCTTTGCTTGTCTCCTATATTTTTGTTGGAAACTGGACATTTTAGATAATATATTGTAGCAACTCGGTGCTGGTTCCCACCCCCACCTCCTGGCCCCAGGCTTATAGTTACTTGCTTGTTCAGTGACTGGCTGGCTTATTTTAGTGACGCCTCCCCCCTCACTACCCTGAAGTGTTAAAGCTCTGTTGTCGCTCAGCAGGAGTGTGCAGTTCAGGGTCTGTCCGCAGCCACCCTGGGACTGCACTGACTGGCTAGACTCTCTTCCCCTCTTTCCCTGACCACACCCAGCTGTCAAGATCCATTAATTGACAGCTGTTGATCTATGCTTACAAAAATGCCCTGGGACATAAACTGGTCTACAGGCTCAGGCTTCTTTGAAGGAGCAGCTCTTGAGGCTGGTGTCTGCTGTTTCCCTCCCTGGTTCTCTCCTGCAAACTAGCTGGCTTACACTTTAGCCTGTATCTTCATGGACTCTACCAATCTCCTCCCAGTTGCCTTTCACCACAACCTCCTTTTTTGAGAGCATCCTTAGGCTTGAACTTCTTCACTCTCTGTTGCAAATGAAGTCAGTTCCTTTGGGAAGAGATTAGACCTGTCTGTTTTATAGCCTGCTTCTAGCCCTAGGCAAAATCTCTGAATCTGGACTCCAGCTGGGGGTGGGGACAGTGATGTGTTTCTCTCTGCCTGATACCCCTGTTTAGGAGTTGACCATGTGGCAGAAGAGAGGCAGTAGCCTCAGGTCTTCTCTGCTTGCCTCTCCTGGCGTGGAACCACCACTTTATAGCCGGGGCAGGGATGACCAAGGTCCCAGTATCCTCAGTGACACAATGCCCGAGGTGGAGCCCCCGTTCCATGACTGGGGGCTGAGCAGAAGGGAGTCCCACCTCTGGGTCACACTTGCCCAGAACTTAGCGTCAGCAACAGGTAGCTGGGGCAGGATGAGAAATGCTGATGTATTGCTCCTCCCAGAAAGCAAGCCCTCTGACCAGAAACTGATGGGAGAGGGAGCCCTGTGCGCTTGGCTGTGACAATCTAGAGTGGAGTTTTTGTCTCCACTGGGCTGGGAGTAGGGAAAGAGGGAGCAATTTTGGCTCAAAGACTCTTTATCAACTTTTAGTAGATTTCTTTGAATAGATGTTTCTTCATTTGCTGTATATCCTTAAGACCGTTTCCAGATACTTCAAATGGTTATCTTTTTATACTTTTCACCAGTTTCACTGCATAGTGGGTCTGTAGAGTTCCTTCGGCTGTCATGCTGGAAGTTTATCCCCTGCAATGGCTTTTCTGTTGATATGTTATCTTACAATTCTATTGTTTGAGTCAGGGAAATTTGAATACAAACTGGATATTTGGTGAATCTAAGGAACTGTTAAATTTTTTAGGTGTGATAACATTATTTTAAAGAGTTCTTACCTCTTAGTAATACATACTGAAATATCTACAGATGAAACAATATGATGCATGGGATTTGCTTAAAATAATCAAGTGTGGGCTATAAGTGGGGAGGGGATGGGGACTACCGATGAAACAAGATTGGCTATGAGTTTAGGTTATGTTGTATTAGTCCTTATAGTAATTATTATTAATATGAGCTGCATAGTAGGAGTTCATAACACTATTCTTTCTACTTTTGTATATGTTTGAAATTTTCCATAATAAAAAGTTAATTTTTTTCTTTTGTCTACATGTGAAATATACTTCGTTAGATATCTTAGAAATATGTCATCAAT